TCCTCTCTCTCTTGCTCACTTGTCGACGAAGGCCTCCGAGTAGGGCTCCGTCTTGCCGGTAGAGGCGAAGTCAGGCAGAGGCCTGACCATCACGCAGGGGGATGAAGAGCAGCACGCACCAGGCCCAGGGACGGCCCCAGTAGCCGTTCTGGACAACGGACATTCGCGTCAGGGAGCTGACACGCCGCCTCAGACAACCAGCGACCACGACATGCGACACAGACCCGGGGATCCGGTCAGAGACGGCCACCACAGCGTTCCTGTGAATGATACTAGGCAAACCACGAACTTAAATGGTCAAACATACACGTAGCATTAACATAAACATAGCAAAGTTGAACAGCAAATTACAGTTAAGGGCCCAGGCATATCAAACTTAAGCAGCAACCTTCTACTTAGATGGCAGAAATAGCACAATCAGTATAAAGTTACTAAATAAGTAGCAGAGCCAATATTCACACTGAAAACGTCCACCTCGCTCATCTGCATATAGTCAAGGGTGTCATTTCTCTTTCACACGGCTTGCGATGTCAAATATCACGACATCCCACTCAACACCGAAGCCTCCCCTGCTGGCTAGCCGCACTCACGAACGGGTAGACGACGTTGCTGCAGAGGGTGACGGACCGTGGCGTTGTAGGCCGTGCTGAGCGGGCCAGCAGCGGCCCAGCCGGCGTCGGAAGCCGCCCTCCACGCGCGCCGTGAACTCGTCCAGGTGCATGAGGAACTCGGCCGCGTACTCGTCCGCCAGCTGATGACGAGCCGACATCGTCAGTCCCGGGACGGCTGACGCCACCCGCTCAATACGCGCGCACACGATCATCTGCATACTTGGTGTCACCATCTCTGACGGGAGCGACGAAACGTGAGACGGTTTGGCTTCGGGCTGCTTGAGCATGACTGTCGCCGCCAAATGACCTCTTGTAAATCTTGCGAGCTCACGGAGGTCAGATATGTGACCCCCTGTCGAGAAAGGAATCGCCACAGTCCGCCCGCGGGAGCTCTGCTGACCAACACGACCCGATCAATGAGGGCACCGGATTGCCTCAGACTAGCAGCTGAATGACCTCGAAGCAACACAGGATTGAATTATATGACCTTTCGGTCATCGAAGCCAGCCTATAGGATTTCGTTACTGTCAGAGATTGAACTACATGACTGTTGAGCCTGGATTTAGATGGCCTGTGAACCACATCAACAGAACTTTATAACTTCGCGCCACCCAACCAAGCTGTACGATCCCCGAGCCGCCTTGAACCGACCTGTGTGACCTGTGAGTCGCCCGATATTGACCTATGTGACTTCTGAGCCGTCCGAAACTGACCTGTATGACTTCTGAGCCGCCGCGCGTGCGCAGGTACTGCTGCGCCGACTCCGCCTGGTCGATCAGCTCCCGGACGGCCTCCGTCACGTTGGTGCGGTTGAAACGCACGTGCTCCTGCAGCGACACGGTGGCGTTCTGCCCACCGGGAGGGAGAGGTCAGTTTGGCTCAGCAGTCAGAGCCACAAAGTGCGGCAACACGTAAAAAGATAGTGACACGATGTGGATCGGGAGCCTCCACTAAACCACGCAGAGTATGGCGGCTTTAGAAACAAGCCGTGGTGGCTTAGAGTTTAAGGGCGCGTCAACTGCAGTCATGCAGCGCCCATACTGCATAAACAAAAACGAACATTGTTGTGCGAGGCTATCATGAAGTGACTGATGCATTATGGACATAGGATGTGTCTAGATCAACGGTTCATCATAAATGTACAAGAACGCTTTGGACAAAGGGACGACCTTCTGGCTACACGATAGATGTATGGAGGCAGTGCTTGAGTAGGCCCTGTTGGCGCATTATCCACAGCATCCTAAACAAAGCTCTCGATGACACCACAGCAACAGTGGTCACCGTATCACTAGCGTCAACGGTCCGTGTCGAGCCCGCGGGTCATCACCAGCGAACACGACTCCAGTCCGGTTCGTTTTCTCGCGGCGGGGCCGCGGCTCACCCTCAGCGAGACGACAATGTCGGCCATCTGGTCGACCACCAGTTGCTGGGCGCCCAGGATGGTGGCCTGGTTGCGCAGCCGGTTGGCCGCCGAGCGCTCGGCCGGCGGCAGCAGGTTGGCGGACGCCTCTAGCGCGGCACCCATCTGACCCAGCTCGACGGCCGTGATGCGGTCCTCCAGCTGCGCGGTCAACGGACGGGAGGGGGTCAGCCAGGGTCAGGGTTACCACCCATGTCAGGAGTTACCATCCACCTGAAATCGCTGCCATGGCCAGGACCCACCGCTCCAGTCATGGGTCACCGGCGAGGTCAGAAGTCACCGCCCTGGTCCGGGGTCACTGCCCAGATCAGGGGATCACCGTCAAGGTCAAGATCGGCTGAGAAACAGACGGAAGAGGTCCACCCGGGCCCGGGTCAGAACTCGTCGCCACCCAGATCAGGGTTGCCGAAATTTAATAGGCAACTCGCCGCACATCCGACACCGGCCATGCCAACAGCATCGCCAGCTCGGAGATTTCAAATAATAACCAAAATTCAATTCAAAGGCCATCCACCAAGCCCTCCAGGGAGGACACCAGGAATGTCCATCAGCGATACGGGCAAAACGAGTAAAGAATGTCACCAGCTCTCGCTGAGAGAACCGTTGCCGCATGGTCGCCACAGGGTTTCGACCAGCAGCCGGGCGGCGCTCACCGTGAGCGTGAAGGCGGTGTAGTTGATGCGGGCGACGTCGGAGCGCGCCAGCTCGTACAGCTGCTCCTTACCCAGCGGCGTGAGGATCTCGACGTCGGTGTCCACCTGCAGCAGGGCCGGGTCATGCCGGTGAGGGGTTCCCTCGCGACAGGGGAGGGGGGGGGGGGCGTGACTGTCAGCGGCTTCAGCGCCAGTGGACAGGTCAGAGCAGCCCCACCGGTCTGACCAGCCCGGGCGTGAAACTCACGAGACAGGACTAGGTACGACGGATGGTCCCTGTCGTGCACAAGCGTGCGTATAGTCTGAAGCTTTGGGTGGTGGCTCGAGATTTAGGAAAATTTTTGGAAAAAGGCGCTCGCTATTTGCCCTTGACTGGAATAGCCTGCGGCCGGTGGCAGCGGTCGCGCTAAAGGTAAGACGACGTCAGAGCACAGGACAGACCGTGCCGAACGTTGCGGCATGTTATACATTCGGCAACAAACTCTGCCATTTACCTGGAGTTGCACGACCATATGGTAAGGGACAGGAGTCACCCAACGTGCACTGCTCAGACTGAGCTCTGACCTCCCAAATCCACCCATTCGAAAAGTTTGAAATACATCTTTCAACGATTGCAGGCAACATAAAAAATTGTCAACCAATGCAACACATTTCACTCCACTAACGCGTGCCAAGTGCGAGGCAACCACTTCACCGCACCAACTAATCTGCGCTCGGCAACTCTGCCTACGCATACAACCAAGGCACTGAAGCCGCCCGGCCTGTGTCTGCCTGCAGAGCCCAGCCGATTCACACCGTCCACTGGTCTGTATCCGACTCTGTGGGAAACGAAGCCCGTTGCCCGCCAACCTGTATCTGGTTGCGGAGGGCATCCAGCTGCTCGTCGATGCCCAGCTGCTGTTTGTAGCGGCCCAGCTCGGAGAGGTCGTACAGCGGCTCCAGGTGCAGCACGGTGTAGATCGACTGGTTCTGGTGACATCTCCTGCACCAACAGTAACCAGTGACGGTCATGAGTGCAGCCAGTTTCCGTCTCCAGATTTTCGCCAGCAGCTCCAAGAACCGTCACGTTGTGGACCCGCATGACTCCTAAGTCCGACGATAACATGTTAAAAAGCCTGCAGGAGCGTCATGGCACGATGACGAAGCACAGATTGACCGCGGCGTGGTGTTTTTGAAAGACTCTTTTCCCCTACAGATCATCCTTTGAGCCAGAGGTTTATACTCACTCTTGGCATCACTTAGAAGGTCGAACACACCTACACCGTGTCCCGACCAGCATATCCCCCGCTCCACCTCCGTACCTCTCCACCCCGCCCCTCTGCAGGCAGCCCCATGCCTCAGCGGGTCGGTGGAGGCATGAAGGGCCCGGCCCCTCCCCTGGTCCCCGGCTGCTGACCTGATGACGTCGGCCAGGTCGAAGCCGGTGGCGGCCAGCTGCGGCAGCAGCTCGTCGGCCGGGAAGACGGCCTCGAGCAGCGCCGGCCCGCCGGCGGGCGAGGACGGCTCGGCCAGGCCGGCGCACAGGTAGAACTGGGTCAGGCCTCCCACCAGGAACATGGCCGTCACCAGCAGCAGCCACCAGCCAGCCGAACAGGAAGAAGAAGAAGGTGGCGCTGTCGGCGGGCCGTGCACGTCATGTCCGGCCCGGCAAGAACAACCGTCACAACGGGTGTCACAGGCTGGAAAGCTTATTCTCGCAAACCACCGTCCGTGAGGCGTCACCACTGCCGAAAGGACGCCAGAACAACAGGGCTTGAGGTAAACCAGGTGCACGCTGATGTTATGTGTTGTTATGTGTGTGATGATGTTATGTGCACGCAGTACCTGAGCATACTTTAACACACAACTGGTATGCTCTGATTACAATCGCATTGCTACATTGCTTTGTTGTGAGATTAGATCGCATTACCCAGAACGCATATATGAGCACCACAAAGCATTACTACAACACATTGCTTGTGATGCCGCACGGGCAAACGAACACACTTGTTAAACTGGAATACGAAGCGAGTTGGCTGCGTTAAAACCATCAACCGACGTGGCCCTCAGCCTTCCACGGCACGCCGCTGGCACTTCTTGGCGGCGCCACACGCGGGCCGTTCAGTCCACAATAGCCCGTGTCCGTTCTCACCGCACGGCCGGCGAGACCCACGTCCAGGTAGTACGGCGGGAGGGGGGGGGGGCCTCAGACCAGAGGGGGCCCAGAAAAGGGGGGCAGAGGAGCAGAGAAGTCGCCTCACCTCAGCAGGAAGTTTGCACCGGCGCCCTTGTTGCACGTGTCGTCACCGTAGACGTTACCCGGCCGCCGGCCGCAGAGGCCGCAGAGAGCCCCATCACCAGGCAGAAGGTGACGATCAGCACCAGGCCGGAGAGGATCAGGAACAGATAGTACCTGGCGGCGCCGAGAGATGTCGCAGGTCACGATCCCGCCGGCCACTCTTCAGACAGTTTCCGCGCGCCTCGCCACGGCGGTGCACGGGGGGTGTCAAGTGCAGGGACAGCTCCGCTGACAGAAGAGCAGCAGTGCACGGTAGGGCGCGCGTCAGAACCAGTGAACGGCACAGAGCGCGAGAAACGGAGAGAGGCGGGGGAGGCGGCTGCACCTCCCCTCTGCAGCCGTCCCTTCTCTCCTACGGCAATGCTGGGAAACAAAGACAGTGGAACTGAAAGTCTCAGAAAGTGACGGTGTCAGCAACAATTTCGAAGCCGATTCTTTCCATACGTCGCTATGAGGTTAATATTCGGCATTCTCAGAAAGTGGGGTTGCAATGACACTGACAGAACACCCGTTTCTCTTCCTATACTTGAAGAAAGCGAACAACTTCGAGCTTGCCCGCCCCTCCCCACCAATCTCTTCCGTGGATGGGGCGTCATTTTCGCACGCGCGTCAGCGAGACAGCTGCCACACTGGGGCCGGCCGCCACGCGACAGACCTGCCCCGTGAGACCCGGCCGAAGCCTGACCTGAACGAGCCGTACTGCTGCAGGTACTGGTTGGCCTCGTCCAGCGCCTCGTGAGCCGGCCGCAGCCGCACGCTGTCCAGTGCCGACGAGATGTTTGCTGGCCGCGTCCTGCAGCCGGATGCCTGCCGACGACGGCGGGGAGGGGGGGAGGGGAGGGGTTCAGCGGCCGCGCAAGCCCACACGCACACGCCGCTGGACGTCAGGCGGGCGGTGCACTAGGTCATCAGGTCATTAGAATGCGGCGTCATGTCGTTACGTATGCTGTGTTAAGTCATCATACACACTGCGGCAAGGCATCACACACGTCAAGCCGACGCTTTTCTTTTTTTGGTTTAAAGAGAGCGCGCCGCATGTCACCCCGCACCCCTCTATGGAGCGTCAGCGGCTGCCTTGACAATGTCTGCGCTCAGGAACCGTAGCACCGGCGCGGCGCTGCGCAAAGACGTCAGAAGCGGCGTCAAGATATCAGGCACAGCGTCAGGAGGTCAGCCACGGCGTCAAGTAGTCAGATACGGCGTCAAGACGTCAGTCACGGCCTCAAGTCGTTAGATACGGCGTCAAGACGTCGGACGCGGCGTCAAAACGTCAGACACGGCGTCAAGTCGCCACACAGCGTCGTTACGTCAGACACGACGTCATGTCGTCAGACACACCGTCAAGACGTCAAAGAGTCATCAGAAAGGGTTTCAGGTACTCAGTCGCCGTACAAAGTCGTTGGGCGCCGCCATAACGCATACGGCAAGAGTTAGTTGAAAGACTACGCAGAGTCAGCAATGTCCTTCTTAAAGGCGTTTTCACGTTATGGCCGCCACAGTACGATTCACAGGCTGGTGCTCGTTACGACGGCGCTCGCACGGGTCGCGCCTCAAGCCCAGCCCCGCGCCTTCGCTGACAAAGCCCTTTTGTCGCAGTTCCGCTGCCGAATAACAACGAAGAAAGCCGCCTGGCCCGCCTGAGCCTGCCCCCGGGGTCGACGAATGGTCGCGCCCGTGGCCTGGCACCGCCGCTGCAGCACCAAAACAAGTCGGATCGATGGAGAGGCCAGACCTCCTTCTCAGAGGCTGCAATCTCGCAGGCTCTCATTGACACAGTTCGAAAAAGTTGAGCTCAGGAATGATGCTCGGAAATTCGGAGGCAGAGGAACGAAGTCTGCTCGAGGAGCGAAAGGATGGTTGCTGTGTGTTTACGTCGTCGTTATCCGCACTCGCAAACTTAATTTGTGCATTCGATATGTTGGTAAAATGCCAACACACATGCTTTGTTATCAGATTGTTGTTGCAACAACCCTGACGGCAAGGAAAGTCGCGATACCCTATAAAAGAGATGCTTGATGGCGCTTAATGGTTATGTTCAGCTACCATCAATATATGTCGGAGAAGCGCAGCGAACAGTTACTCACTGGATTGACCCGGTTTTCTTGTACATCATGTATGGCGTTCGCCGTTTCTATGTACTAAAGCACCCACATCGTTTTGCAATCTATGCTAAGCTTATCTGAAGAGACAACATGGTCTCACCTTCCCAGCTAAGATATTAAATTTTGCCTGCAAGTTTTGTCGCATACTTCTGGACAGTTTTAAGTACCAAAGGGTCTTTGACGTGCCTTTCAGCGCCACAGTACAATCATGGTGGGGCAGCCCGGTGTTCTGACCAGTTGCCAGTCTTTTGACTAGCCACGTACGCGCTATTTCTAACACGGATGCAGACTCAAACTGTTGATTCGCCCTGGAAGTCACACATATGTCTGACGCTCTAACCACATGAGCTGTAGCGAAATTCTGCGAAAGGCCTTTATTGTATTTCCAAAGAAATGCAGTGGATTGATGACCGCACTCCCAGAATAAAACGCACTGACGACAATGATACAGGATCTTTATGGCTCCACGGAAGAGCCAATGATTTTAATGAGTGGGCTCTTACTCAGATATGATAATGGGCGGGGGCAATAGCTGTCCGTCATTTGCCTGGTAAGTGCTTCTGAACTAGACAATAATTATATCATTGCGACTCTTAACGTCAAACAGATGCAGTAGCTGCCCATAATACAAACCGTCGACCCCCACACACAATAACCACTGATTGAGGCCGTAGTCCGTGATGACGACCACTGAAAGCCATTTGCCACAGACAGCATGCAGCGTGGCGGCCATTTTAGCCTACACGTCAGGCAACCGCAATAGCTGTCCATAACTCACCGGCCTGGGCAATCCTGCGACGCACTTCTGGCACGACGGCCGCCACCTCCGCCTGAATGCGGCCCGACAGCTCGTCGAACGACCGTTTGCCTGCACGCACCTCTCGCTCGATGCCGTTCTCGATCAGCGAGGAAATCTCGCGAGCCGTTCTCGTGACGTCCGGCAACTGCAGCGCAAAGTCAGGCCAGGTCAGGTCAGGTAGCACTCAGGCCACGTTACGCCAGGTCACCACGTGCCACGGGAAGTTACATTGAACACAGGTCGGGTCAGCTATAGAGTCTGTCATGCAGAGATCGGCCAGCCAGCTGTAGTGCAGGGATCGGGCCAGCAGCAAGCCATTGAGGCCCCATTACGTTAAGGTCAGGATCAGGTCATGACCCAGCCAAAGCCTCCATAAGCTGAAGACCAAGCAGGCGGGGGCGAGGCACAGTAGCTGTGACAGATGAATGAGATTGTGTCCGGCTTGGGCCAGGTCAATGGGTCACAGCGAGGTGCCAGTGGAAGATTTGTACAAGCACCGGACACAGGCCAGGTCCGCTATCTGCAGGTCAGGTCACCGCCGGTCAGCAGTCTGGCGCCAGCGAGCCAGTCCTATGTTTGTTACAAGACAAGGTAATGACAGCTATGAGCATTGGGTTGGAATGATGGGGGCATTAGTTTGTGCACCAGGTAGCTTATACACCAGGCACGTGCAAGCAGCATTATGACCTGAAATCGAATGCAACTTTAGTTGAACCCATCTGCTTTTGGCGGACGAAATTCATGCAACGTCACACAGATATAAAGAGCCACGGTACCTATAGACACCGAGGTTCAAACAAGGCATGCACGCCTCCAATGTCCACGACCGCAGGTCAGCTAGTCCTCGGAGCGTCTCAGGCGAAATCACCAAGACATCCAGGCCTCTCACACCGTGAAACACTGGCACATGGCGCAGGTGCTGATGGACGGAGCGCGCTCCAGACACTGATCCACCAGCACCGTGGCGGACCGCACGCAGGCCAATCACGGCACATGACCACACAACTGCCGGATCCTAGCAGACTGGTGCCAAACTTAATGATAATAACGCAAGGAAATCAAGCCTCATGCAATTCATCACCGCTATGTAAGAAAACGCCATGCTTAATCACTTGCATCTGAAAGAACATATCCCCTGATTGAACTAAATGTGCATTTCAAAGATGGTACCTACTATAGAACTTAGGAGGAAAGCTGTTACCACAGAGGACATGACATTCGGGGACTCAACGTCGACATACACTGGAAGAGAGCACATGCCAATCACCAACACAACATGGATAAAGTGAGCTCAAGTGCCTGCATGTCTGTGAGACCGCTTGAAAATCGAGCACACGTATGACCACAGGGTCGAGCCGGTCCACCCGTGCAAATCAGTGTCTGCCTGAACCG